GAAATGATAGCTTGGTTGTGTGGACGTAACATTTACATGGTGTAAAACCCAAATGTAACACTTCCATTGAGTGATTTTTACACCGTTACATCCACACTTGAGGTATTGTTTCTGCTATATTTGAACCCTGACTATACCAAAACAAAAGCTTTTCTTGGTGCTTAGGTGTCCAGTTGTAAATATGCAATGTCAGTTTAAGAAATATTTTACATACATGTAAAAAATGGCCAAAAAAGAATATTTGGATGTAAACATTGACACGGTGTCAATGTTACGTCCGAATTAATACATTTTTGCTCATATTTTTGTCAAAGTACTTTCAAATGATTTCAAACTTTCTCAAATATTGAAACACCCTTAATAGACAAATATTATGTTAAGCAATTGTTTAGAATGCATTGATACTTTTAATAATATAACCAAATATATGGAAGTAACATGCACTGCTTCCCAACCCGGTGGAATGACCCAACTAGTTTTGTGTGCACAGCTACCCAAAAGTCACCAATACCCCATATTGAAAACCACCCACTGTTAGTGATACCGGAATCAACTTGTCAGTTGAACAGGTTTCAGTGGCATGCAATCTCATCATTAGTAATTGCAGCGGACGATTTCCTCCTCAAAAAAGCCATTGAAGGAAAACCAATCCACCTCCCAGACGACCATAAAAGGCATGCAATTGACCGTATTTGGTGGAGAGCCCTACTTCCATTTCCACCTCTTTTGCACAGTAGTGATTTTGTATAATGTATATTGTGGAGGGGTTAGCATTCCAGAACCATTGTGTGTTATGAGTTTGTGGTTAGTACGCCTTTGTGTGAGCTTGTGTTTGGTATAGTAGGCTTGGTCGGAATATTTTTTCCCCCACAAATTCTTTGGACACGTAGGTCACTGTGTAATAAACAAGAATTTGGGAACTTTAAAAAGGAGTACAAATCAGAAGGTTTGCCCATTTGTATTTTCATGTATTTATAGGGATATTTTACAATATCGTAAAAAAAAAAATTTGAACCAGGAAGTTACGCTTTTGTCACTGGAAGTGAAAGGAAAAAACTTTTTTATTAAAACTTTTTTTGAAAATTTACTTTGAAGGTTTATTTATTTTCAGGTTATATGGAGATATTTTACAATATCGTAAAAAAAAAAATTTGAACCAGGAAGTTACGCTTTTGTCACTGGAAGTGGAAGAAAACAACTTTTTTATTCAAACTTTTTTTGAAAATTTACTTGAAGGTTTATTTATTTTCAGGTTATATGGAGATATTTTACAATTTCGTAAAAAAAAAAATTTGAACCAGGAAGTTACGCTTTTGTCACTGGAGGTGAAAGGAAACAACTTTTTTATTCAAACTTTTTTTGAAAATTTACTTGAAGGTTTATTTATTTACAGGTTAATTTTCCTTTTAAATACATGTATGTAAAGCATTACATCATGTTCAGTGTAGTTATCATCACTTTGTGATTGATTCCCACATGTGCACATGTATACATGTGCCGTACAATTAGCGGTACATGTTCATATGTACATGTACTGGTACATGTACATGTACAGTTTATTTATGTACATGTACATGTACATTGCATGTTGGCGATTCTGTGGTGACTCACATTACATGCAGAGGGGGTCTTCTGTCAACTCTGTGGTGTTACCGGTAGTTTTTTCGTCAAAGCGCTGAGGGAGGATTTTTCTCACAGATGATCCCTGGAAGTTACAATGTACATGTGGGTGACTAAACTACAATTATTTTTGTTGGTACCGGTAGCTCACGTTACAGTAACTCTTGTTACATTTTGTCCGCTCATGGTAATTAAAACATAAGAAACTTAAAAATCAAACAAAAAACCTCTTTTCTCACAAAATATTAACCTTTCTCTCTACCTTAATAAAAAAACTCACAATAACAAGTTAGCGTTTTGCATGTACATTGTATTTAAACAAGGTGCCTTAAACTTACTACCTACAATCCATAATTTAACCCCCAAAACCCAGTTTTTGGACAAACAAATACACCATGTTGCATCTCAGTGATCTCACTGCCACATCACTCAAATGAAAGATCTTGTTGTCCCCATACCGCACCACATTTCAGCCATGTCATTCTTATGGATTGTCCACTACATGTATACATGATTTATATCTTGTTGAATAATTTTAATTTTTAGGTGATTTTTTTTTCAGTTGAAATCGTCCATTTCTGTCAGTTTAACATACATGTACAGCCATGTGTTTTTTAATTACTTTGTAATACCGATATGATAAATTTACATTCAAATACATCTGATTTCTCCGTATTTATAAACACCAAATCACGTCACACAGACCTCAATGGGGTGGGGCATTTCAAGCACGTGCCAAGGTTCAATTGCGCACTGATACCGCGCTGCGCCCGTGTGTTGTGGTATTTTCTTATCAGAAGAGCTATGAAACCAAATACCATACATGTATTTAGCCAACTAATTCACAGGTGCTTACCGGTAGCTACTGATTAAATCTATTATACAGTATTTATAAGCTGTACATGTGCATACATGTACATGTACATGTACCTAGCCTTTAGTCAAGTCCCACGCGCCTATACCCGGACCATCCGGACACGTAACGCACCCCGGATGCTTGACTAAAGGCTATCATGTACATACATGTACAATGTACATGTACCTAGGAACAGTGTACCGTACATGTACATGTACATGTACTTATATAATGTACACATACATGTACATGTACATGTACTGTAAATAAAACTACTGTTTTATTGTACAATGTACATTTTTTGTACAGTTCATGTACATACCATGTACATGTACATGTACATGTGTAGAGTGACATGCTTTAATAAATGACGCAACATGCCGGAGTTCATGAGATTAAGGTTGATAATTTTCACTTTCATCAGCTACTTTTAGTTTTACTGTACATGGGTTCATGGATTACATATTGTACATCATGTACATGTACATGTACCGGTATGTACGTACATGTGTATGTACGTATGTACATGTACATTTTTGTACATGTACAATTTTCATAGCTCCATGGTTGAACTTTCAGTTTATTGGGACTTTTATGTAAATGTGCACATGTGTATGTGTACATACGTGTACATGTGTACATGTGTACATGTACATGTGTATATTTGTATGCACATGTACATGTGTATATGGCTTGAACATGCTCCATATGTTTTTACAAATGTGCAATCCCCAGTTGCATAATTACATTGTCTGTAACGGTAACCCGTACATGTATGGCATTGTACATTATGTATACAATACATGTAGGGGTTACAGACATAATGCGGATATAATTTATTAGTCAGAAGTATGAAACTGAAATAATACATCTGATAGATGGCGTTCACGAAAGTGCAGTTTACCCTGTAAAGCTACATCAAATGTATAAAGCCTCCAGACAACTTCCAGGATTAGAAATTTGGGGTTGGAGTTCTTCTACGGATGAACCCATGTTTTACTTCAACAGGTTTCCCTTACTACCCGTAAATGCACACCACTAGTACTTGCAAATTTATTGTAAACTTGGGAGTTCTTTTACGGATGAACCCATGTTTCACTTCAACAGGTTTCCCTTACTACCCATAAATGCACACCACTAGTACTTGGAAATTTATTGTAAATCACACTGTATTCAGTACATTGTTTACTGTCTGTCATGTACTGTTGCATATTGTGAGAGATGTACAATATATTGCACAATGCGCCTGTCTGTGAAAGTGTCAGGTTAGCCTTGGATGAGGAAGGAGGGTTACGAGTTGACCATGGAATCAGGAAGAGATAACACTTGGCTTCTAGCATGCGTTCCGCAAATTCCACTTCCCGATTAGATCCTCAGTCTGTGGTTATGTAGGCTGTTAAATGGAAAATCTGAACGATGAATCTGTTTTTTTTCTTCCCCCAGTCATAGTCTGTAATTTCACCCACTGAAAAGTGATGTTTGTCATTTTTTGGAGGTGTTGATAAGACTGCAGACAATGTATGCGTGACTGCATCTTTACACATGTACATGTACCTTTGATCAGCTGAATTCCTTGTTTCTCACTTGACTGGTACATGTACGTGCATGCCATTTAAAAAAAAAAACCCAAAACTGAGCATTGTACATGTATACAGTTTTGTAAAGCTTTGAATTTCCTCTTTTTTGGGGTCACTTCCAAGTTGCATGCTTGTGTATGCATTTTGACTGCTGTCTGTAGAAAAACATTAACCCTTTCCCCAGCCAGCCAAACTCCAACCAGGGTTTGTTGGAGTCTGTTAGGATGAGGACTGCACTAGTTAACTGACTGTATTTTGCATGGGATTAGGCATACCACAAATAAACGGAGTCCAACTGTTTTAATATGTGTACAGTTTACCATAAGGTATTGGGATTTGCAAGGAAGAGGAAGGTTCCTAGTAAATCACCCTCAGAGGGAGTTTAAAGGGGCACTAGGTCCTGAAATCCCCGCAAATTTCATGTTTTGGATTGTTTACTTCTTCAAACATGTGGTTGAAAGGAAACCAACCTAATGTCTTACCATTCCCGAGAAAAGAGGAAAAATCCTGGTTGTTTACGTCGGACACCACGGAGTACGAATACGTTTTTCGTGTCGTTCTCATACAGTGTACGATATACACGTTGTGTGTATCGGGAACAGCGGTGACTAATCACCATTGATGCAAAAAGTGTGGTTTCTTCAACGTACGCAAAAGGCGAACACTCTACGAATGAAATCACAACTACCAGTAGCATCCAAACAGCTCGAATTTATGGGGTCGCAAAAGTGGACCCCGAAATTCGTTCTCGCACACATAATAACACAAAAACGCCCAGTTTTTGAAGGATAGTTGTGTGGATGTTTATATCCTAGTTTTAAATGTTCTTTCCGAATAACATAATCTCGTTCAAAGCGTGTTTTGTAGCCCAATTGGGCTGTTCCAGGACCTAGTGTCCCTTTAAATGGGATCCCACATTTCATGTTTCAATGTTTCTTTTTCATCAGATCTGGTAGACTTTAATCACCGGCCACCATGTCGGTCTACAGCGACGATAACATCCTCAGTGCGGAGGGCAGTTTCTGGGAGATGGGTCAGTACAAGCGGACGGTCAAGCGGGTGGACGACGGTCACCGGCTCTGCAACGACCTGATGGCCCTGATTCAGGAGAGGAGCGAGATCGAGCGCAAGTATTCCAAGTCACTCCGGCACTGGTCCAAGCGCTGGAACGAACTCATCGACAAAGGTGAGTGAACGATGGCAGAAACAAAAAGTCAACTGTGAAATGGTACATGTATGCAAATAATGAGTGGCTCAGAGTGCTTTTTACTTGGTTGGTTCTTCTCCTAAGGACTTCCACAAGGGAGTATAACTAGGAGGCCAGAAACACCGGGCAAACCCCTTCTCTTAGCGATAAGTGTTACAGGGTTCTTTTACGTGTGTTAGGCCTTAGGCCAACTCACGGGACCTCCGGCTTAACGTCCCATCCGAAAGACGAAGCAATAATGGTTAAGTGCCTTGCTTAAGGACACAAGTGTCCGGGCCGCGGCTCGAACCCACGCCACTATTGCCTCTGAAACACCAGAGCATGAGTCCGGTGCTCTTAACCGCTAGGCCATGGAATGGGAGGAATATTATCACAAGGTAAAATCTGGACTTTTCTATTTCATGAGGCAAAGCCGAGTGAAATGGAAAAGTCCACATTTTACCGAGGGATAATATTCCTCCCATTTCGCAATTTAAAGCCACTCAATATTTGTTTTATATTTAACTGACATATGCCGGTAGATCCTTTTGATTTACGCAGTTGAACTTAACCTCCATTTAAATACAAAATTGAAGGGAAATGTACTTCTCTCTTCCAATCCACCCCTTCACGAAATGTTTGAACCCGACTCTGTAGCTACTGGCTCTTGGGAACGTTACGCTCAACGCGCACACCAGCATGCATTTGCGCACAAATACCGCGTCATGGAACAAGGCTCTTGGGAACAATACGCGTTACGCGCAATGCTCAACGCACACACCAGCATGCATTTTGCACACCAATACTGCGCCATGGAGCAAGGATGATCCTAACTGTTTTATATTAAATCCCATTCACCATGGGCCAATGGGACTTTTTCACCCCCTACATTTGTTTTTACTTCCGCACAAAAAAAATTATTAAAAAAAACCACTGATTTTTACTTCTGGCTGCAAAATATTCACATATTTTGATAATGAAGTATTCAGATTTAGTCACAGAACTTTATTGACTCCACTCAGCTTGCACTTCCTACTTTGTGTTTCTTCAGGTCCTGAGTACGGCACCGTCAAATCAGCCTGGAAGTCCACCCTGACGGAAGCAGACAGCAAGAGCGAGAGTCACCTGGACATAGCCAAGAAGCTGATGCAGGAGGTACAGGGAGCCGTCAAGACCTGGCAGAAGGAGAACTATCACAAGAAGATGATGAACGGATTCAAGGAGACCACAGAGGCTGGAGAGGGATTCGCCAAGGTTTGTAACCGCTCTCTACCTATAGACCAGTGTAACTAAGAGTGGGGGGCCGGTCGGGAGGGGGGGGGGGGGGGGAGAGAAAGCTGATGAAGGAGGTACAAGAAGCTGTCAAGACCTGGCAGAAGAAGAACTATCACAAGAACATGAAGAAGAAGATGAACGGAATTAGGGAGACCATGGAGGCTGCTGAAGGATTCGCCAAGGTTTGTCACCTCTCTCTACCTATAGACAAGTGCAACTAAGGGTGGGGGCCGGGAGGGGGGGGGGGAGAGAGCAAGCTGATGAAGGAGGTACGAGAGGCCGTCAAGACCTGGCAGAAGGAGAACTATCACGAGACGATGATGAACGGTTTCAAGGAGACCACGGAGAATGCCGAGGGATTCGCCAAGGTTTGTAACCGCTCTCTACCTAAAGACAAGTGTAACTAAGAGTGGGGGCCGGTCGGGAGGGGGGGGGGGGGGGAAGGGGAAGCTGATGAAGGAGGTACAAGAAGCCATCAAGACCTGGCAGAAGGAGAACTATCACAAGACGATGATGAACGGATTCAAGGAGACCACAGAGGCTGGCGAGGGATTCGCCAAGGTTTGTCACCTCTCTCTTCCTATAGACCAGTGTAACTAAGGGTCAGGGCTGGGGGGGGGGGGAGGGGCTGGGGAGCAAGCTGATGAAGGAGGTACAAGAAGCTGTCAAGACCTGGCAGAAGGAGAACTATCACAAGATGATGATGAACGGATTCAAGGAGACCACAGAGGCCGGCGAGGGATTCGCCAAGGTTTGTCACCTCTCTCTTCCTATAGACCAGTGTAACTAAGGGTCAGGGCTGGGGGGGGGGGGGCTGGGGAGCAAGCTGATGAAGGAGGTACGAGAAGCTGTCAAGACCTAGCAGAAGGAGAACTATCACAAGAAGATGATAAACGGATTCAAGGAGACGACGGAGGCTGCTGAGCGATTTTCCAAGGTTTGTAACCGCTCTCTGCCTATCAGGTCTTCGATAACCTGATGTTGTATGACAAAACAAATGGCAGCTACTGACCGATCAACAACTTTGGCCGGATTTCTGCTCTCAATGACGTCACGACTTCAAAGAGCAGCTCCAATTAGCTGGTGTGCGGGGTCACGTAAAATCGACATGCACAGATACATCAGATGTCTTGTAGTGTGGCTCTGCACATGGGAACGTCTGATACTCAGACTTCATGTATGTCATCTCTGTTTGTTTAACCCTAACCGCCCTGAATCCTTTAAAATCCTCTTTGCCAAAGTGGAGGAATTTGAGGGATTGAAGTTACATGCCAAAAGCGTTAGTTACTGATTTCGTAGGATGCACTTTGTCAAGGTCTTGGGCCGGACCGTGTGTTGTTTTTGCTCAGCTATGCATAAATATAGGCCTGGATTATGCTTGAAATCCTCCGTACTGCTCCAGGATGTCACTGGCCAAGCCTCAACATATTGACAGTCACTGCCGCAGGATTTGGCAGGATTCAGGCAGTGGTCACCCCTCCACGGACCATATTCAAGAAATAATGGAGGAATTTGCAGGATTGAGGCTATATGCTATTTTTCCATGAGGCCAATTGGAGGTTTTTGCAGGATTGAGGCTACATCCTAGCAAAAAGGCCTAGGGAGATAGGGTTAAATAGTACATGTATGAAACTCATTGGGCAAACACTGTAATTTGGTTTTTTATCACTTGTCCAATTCTTTAGGCTCAGAAACCGTGGGGTAAGTCTCTGAAGAATGTCAACGCCAAGAAAGCAGCCTACCACGCGGCCTGCAAGGCAGAGAAACAGGCCCTCAGTCAGGAAATGACCGCCAGTCAGGATTCGTCACTCTCACCGGACCAGGTTAGTGGCTCAGTTAAATGATTGGGCTACGACTTACAATTACCCATAGACATAAGTGTTACTGTGAGCCGTAGCCTTAGTAATTAGAATGTGGCTTGATTGAGCAAAATATCTCCTCATCAATCCAGGGCCCAATTTCTAAGCACTGTCGATATCAGAATTTTCAATCATCTATATCAGAATTTTCAATAATCTATATCAGAATTTTCAATAATCTATATCAGAATTTTCAATAATCGTTATCAGAATTTTCAATAATCTATATCGGAATTTGCAATAATCTATATCGGAATTTTCAATAATCGATATCAGAATTTTCAATAATCGATATCATTACAAAATTGCTATCGGTGATATCGATATCAAAATAATATCGAATAATATCGATATATCGACGGTGCTTACCAATTTCATGGCTAAGCTTACCTTTAGCGATGAACCCCTGCTTACTGTAGCAGAAAAATTTCCAGCTTACGGGAAACGTATTTCAAGGGTTAGTGAGGAATTTTGGCTTCTGCTTATGCCTACATCCCGTAACTAAGGATTCTGTGCTTACCGGGTTAGCGCAGAATTTTCTGCTAGCGCTGTTTTCTGCTAGCATGCAATGGGGTTGTAAGCGCGGAATTCTGTGGTTAGCAGAGCCATGTAGCATTAGCATAAATCACAGCCTTTTGCTTGATCGTACTTTGAAGATCAAGAAGACGCAAGACAAAGTGGAGCGAACCAAGCAAGAGAAGCAGAAGTTGGAGGAGAGGTATCGGACGTCGCTGGACGACTTGAAGGCCCTCAACCCACGCTACATGGAGGATATGGGCATCCAGTTTGACAAGACACAGGTATGACAAGCACTCTATTATTATTACTATCTTAAATACCGGTAGAACCATTAGGGAGACACCTTAACCCTAACCCACCTCACTCCTCCAAAATCCTCCTGGCGGTTTTGGAGGATTCTAGAGGATTGAGGATGAATGGTGATTGAATCAAATGAGGATTCTGGAGGATTGAGGATGAATGGTGATTGAAGCACATGAGGATTTTGGAGGATTGAGGATGAATGGTGATTGAAGCACCAGAGGATTTTGGAGGATTGAGGATGAATGCATTTTGAGGCAGGACTGTCTGATGATTTTGAAGGATTTGGCGTTGGTTATCCTTCATTTAAACACGAGTGCAAAGTTTTGGGTGAGGATGATTTTGGAGGATTGAGGATGAATGCGTTTTGAGGCAGGACTGTCTTACAATTTTGAAAAATTTAGGCGGAGTTGCAAAATTTTGGAAAATTTTGGAGGATTTTGGAGGATGGTTGTAAGCAACAAGGGCCTAGGGGGTTAGGGTTAAGCCAGCCTCAGGTCGACTGGTTCGCGCACGAATGGCGGAAAGTAAAGTAAGTAAAGTCTGTCACGAGCCAATGTGGCCCATCAGGCCGGCGTTTATCACTGGTTTCAGTAGCATGAAACGACTGAAATGAAAAAAAAATGCTAGTCCATCGCAGGTTACTCCCCAGCTAATGCCGGTACCCATTTATACTCCTGGGTGGAAAGAGGCAAGTGGGGGTAAAGTGGCATGCCCAAGGACGCACTATATAACCAGCAGCTGGATTCGAACCCCTGACCCTCTGATCATGAGTCACAAACCCTAACCCCTTGGCTACACTCCCCTGGCTAATTATATAGTGCGCTCATTATAGTGCGCTCATTCGGTGTGTCCTCCCACTGGAGCTTTTGCAAGTGGTAAATAGCGCCCTCTATTGTTTCTGCACGGAGTCCATAGAATCCATCGTGCGATCATGTAATGCTGAATGACGTCTTCCTTTTGTTTCAAGAAACACTCCCGTTCCAAAAAACAAATTCTCTGCAAAAAATTAAAGAAAGCAAGATGACGTAATTGATGCCATTTTCTCATACGCAGGTATTTGAAAAGAGGAGGATTGAATTCTTCAAGCAGACGTTGAAGGACATGCACAAGGTCCTGGATCTCTCCAGCAGTCCCAGGTAAGACTCCAGAGGTCGTAGGTCAAGAGTCTATATCGTATGTCCCTGACCTATAGAGGGCAGTATTATATTATTGTATCTGTGGTAACATCAAAGATTTCCTCATGTGTGCAATATATAAATTTGAAGAAAAGTTGCATTTTTTAAAGCATTATGCTGACGCCGAGGATAACAACTCAACTTTCAGTTGGAATTGTTTTGTTTTTCTCCAGTTTTGCTCAGATTTACACGGATTTCAAATCGACGATAGAAAACGCAGACCCAGACAAAGACCTGAAGTGGTGGAAAACCAACCACGGGACCGGCATGGCCATGAACTGGCCGGACTTTGAGGTATGATACACCCCCGGCCCTATCCCTATCCCCACCCCTATCCCCTACCCCCCCCCCCCCCCCCCCCGGCTCCCATCCTCATCCCGAACCCCATCCTTGTTCCCAACCCAAACCCCACTCAACCCAAACCGCACTCAACCCAAACCCCACTCAACCCAAACCCCACTCAACCCAAACCCCACTCGACCCAAACCCCACTCGACCCAAACCCCATTCGACCCAAACCCCACTCGACCCAAACCCCACTCGACCCAAACCCCACTCAACCCAAACCCAACTCAACTCAAACCCAACTCAACCCAAACCCAACTCAACCCAAACCCCACTCAACCCAAACCCCACTCAACCCAAACCCCACTCAACCCAAACCCAACTCAACCCAAACCCCACTCAACCCAAACCCCACTCAACCCAAACCCCACTCAACCCAAACCCCACTCAACCCAAACCCCACGCAACCCGAACCCCACTCAACCCGAACCCCACTCAACCCAAACCCCACTCAACCCAAACCCCACTCAACCCGAACCCCACTCAACCCAAAACCCACTCAACCCAAACCCCACTCAACCCGAACCCCACTCAACCCGAACCCCACTCAACCCGAACCCCACTCAACCCGAACCCCACTCAACCCAAACCCCACTCAACCCAAAACCCACTCAACCCAAACCCCACTCAACCCAAACCCCGCTCAACCCAAACCCCGCTCAACCCAAACCCCGTTCAACCCAAATCCCTCTCAACCCAAACCCCACTCAACCCAAACCACGTCCAACCCAAACCCCACTCAACCCAAACCCCACTCAACCCAAACCACGTCCAACCCAAACCCCACTCAACCCAAACCCCACTCAACCCAAACCACGTCCAACCCCAAACCCACGCCCACCCCACCCCATGCCCACCCCACCCCACCCCACCCCCACCCCACGCCCACTCCCACCCCCACCCCAACTGCTTGACTTGTAATTGACTTAATATTGACTTGTCAATCCCGATTGACTTGTGATCTGACCTGGGATTGACATTTACGATTGAGTTGTGATCTTGACTTGTGATATTACTTACATTCATACTCCTCTCCAGCCAGGAGTATGAATGGGTCCCTGTGAGGGTAGAGCACCGAATGTGCGCTGATATTGTCTGCCGCGTGGGGTCCCATGGCCTGATGAACGGGGGAATAATTGTGAAGCGCTTTGTAGATTGTTGATACGATGGAAAGCGCTATATAAGCATTACAATTTGCAATTTATATACTTGTGATTGACTTGAGAATAAACTTGAGATTGACTTGTGAATTGGCTTGTGACAGACTTGTGAATGGACTTGTGATTGACCTGCACTTGACGTGTGGTTGTGGTTGAATTGTGATTGACTTGTGATTGAATTCTGATTGACTTGTGATTGAATTCTGATGGACTTGTGATTGAATTCTGATTGACTTGTGATTGAATTCTGATGGACTTGTGATTGAATTCTGATGGACTGATGGTGAACTTGTGATTGTCTTGAGATTGACTTGTGAATTGGCTTGTGACAGACTTTCAAATAGACTTGCGATTGACCTGCACTTGGCGTGTGGTTGTAGTTGAATTGTGATTGACTTGTAATTGAATTCTGATGGACTGATATAAACTTGTGATGGACTTGTGATTTGACTTTAACCCTAACCCTGCCAGACGCAACACAGGGCATCAAAATCAAAAGTCAGGTGTATTTTGATGCATCCAGCTATCAACACCAGTGCATCAACCTCCAGTTCTGAGACAATGAGAGCTAGTCCCATAGAACAATGCCACAGTTGTATCCTGCTGCATCCGGTGACCACGGACTCTGAGGCAGTGTGGCCTTGAAGCTTTTGACCTGCTGGATCTTGCTACACTGGTCAGGCTTGTCACTTACTCAAGTGTTGCATGCTGCTGCGTTTGGCAGGGTTTCTAGCCAAAATACCCTGGAGGGTTACGGTGTCTGACTTGAGATTGACATGTGATTGACTTATGATTGACTTGACTTCGACTTCGCGAATCTCAACAGGTCGGTAAAAATAAGGATTAACACGGATTGATTTCCTGATTAATCATCCTGCCTCTCATTACAGGACTACAAGGAAGAGCTCCACGCCATCGGCAGCAAACGAGCGACGATGAAGAACTCAGTCAGTGGAGGCGGGGACGGCAGTATCACCGTCAAGACTGTCAGATCCATCAATGACGACTACAACAACACGGAGTACAACGATCCCCTGGCTTACGGCGACAGGTAAGTCAGTCTCCGGCTCCCACTGATGCGCCTGTTTTTACAGGAAGGAATTTTCTTTTAAGACCACAATCAGTGCGACTGGATAATGACAAGCAACTTCAAGCGAGAACTATAGTTAATCATAGTTTGGCTATCGTCCTTTGAACCCGTGTTGTCGGATATGTACTGTAGGTGTACTAGTCTAGTCACCAGTCGGAACCAGCCTTCAGAGGTTGACAACATCGCTGGTTACAATAGCTAGACACATAAAGCATAGCGAGGAGCCTGCACCCGATTTCATGGAACTCATCGTAACTTACAATGCATCGCAGCGCTGCGACGCGTCCTATACCTACGATGCGTCCCAGCTGCGACGCGTCCTGCAATTCATTTCACAAAACATGCCATATGTGCAACGCATCATAAGTGTATATTTATAGTACAACACGGTGTCTGTTATATATATTTTTTCAACGCAGAGTAAAATAGTCGTCTGATTTTCAGCAAAGAGTCATCGGATCTGTTCTCGAAAAGATTTTCAAACATTAAACAAAACGGCTGACGCATGATGCAGTTTTAAAGGAAAGCAAGCTCACAGTGGACTGTTTGTTGTCTGTACTTTGAAATTTCAGCTGTAATATTCAAGGTTTATTCATATTTACTTCGATGCATATTCCATTTACAACGTCACGCACTTTGTCTTGATATTATAGTCTCGTTTGTTAAATATTTATGGCCTAAAACTGGCTAAAAAAAGAAAAGGACGCTTCTTATTTTGCGATGACCACTAGACACGTCGTAACTTGTGGCGTGTTTTAAACCATTGTCAGGGAACTTGCGATGCGTTCAACGCATCGTAAAGTTTCGTGAAGTGGATCATATGATGCGTTTCAAGTTGCGACGTGTTACGGGTCATAACTGGAGTTGCAACTCGTCGCGGCGCTTCGTGAAATCGGGTGCAGGTCCGGGAAGCTTAAAGATGACATTTTCATCATCATTTTGATTTAAGGCATTCACTTAAAGAGGTTGTGGAATGCTCGAAGACATTTCCGTCATTTTTCAGGTAAATGTAGCCTAAGGTGAGATGAAATAAAAACGACTATTGTTTCTGTCATAAAATGAGTACAAAAGGTACTTTTGAGAGCTGTTTTTCAAGTCCTGTCATGCCTGTTTCGACCCGAACGTGCAATTTGTGTAAAAGTCGTCGTTGCGGGCAGCAAACAAAACACAGTAAATCGTGACGTAATAAACAGGACTCCCGATGCAGAGTAGCATAAACGAGTCCTGTTTATTACGTCACGATTTACTGTGTTTTGTTTGCTGCCCGCAACGACGACTTTTACACAAATTGCACGTTCGGGTCGAAACAGGACCTGAAAAATAGCTCTCAAAAGTACCCTTTGTACTCATTTCATGACAGAAACAATAGTCGTTTTTATTTCATCACACCTTAGGCTACATTTTCCCTGAAAAATGACGGAAATGTCTTCGAGCATTCCACAACCTCTTTAATAGTGTTGTGAATGCACAGACGCGTCTAATTTACATCACCAATCAACCACTAGACTAACGGTCTCGCTTGCACTTGCTTTCATAATGAAACTGCACATTAAAATTAATTTTATTGTGAAATAAATTTTTTGACAAGTTGTTTGCTTGACAAACTCTCCATTCTTTCTCTCTCCGGTTTTTCTTAACATTCCCTGGTTTTTCCCCGCGGACTACGATGCTTTTCACTCCCACCCAATTTCTTCTCATAATTGTCCACACCCTTAACCTACCCGCCGTACTTTACCGCATGCTGGATTGTTCACCTCTTTGAAAAAAAAACCTTGCCTGAATTTGTTCGTCTCTTCCATTTTTATGATACCTATATCGCATCTTTTTGTAAAACTTTTGTAAACACAATCATTCCAAAACAAATATCGTCTACCAAATTACCAAAAACATAATGTGTTACATCTCTGCCGGTCTTCGTACAACTTTTTGTTCAAAACGCCATTGATGTTTATCATTGCCCCCCCCCCCCCCATGCTCAATTTGCCGAACTTCCCTAAACTCTTTGAACCCCCCTCCCTTGGTTCCTCAACAAATGTCCAAATCGGATAATATTACCTGATACACAAAATCCTTACCTGTCTTCCAATCTTTGAACTACTTAAATAAACCCCATCAATGTTGATCTTCACCTTTGACCTTCAACATTAACCTCTTTGATGACCACCCTCCCTCCCATGGCCCACCCCCATTTGTTCCCCAACAAATGTCGGAAACTGAAAACAAATTCCTCACTCCTCTGCCAATCTTTGTACAACTCCTACATGTAATAAACCTTACCGATGTTGACCTTTAACTGTTTACCTGTGACCTATTGCCCCCATTGACTACCGACCCTCCCCCCCCCCCCAATGGGTACCCCAGTAGTAGTTACGATACCCCCAGCCCCTCCGTGAGCTCTACTGCTTTTAAATGGCCGCATCACAGCGACATATCGGAGCCCTCGTCGCCATTCACCAGGTATATTTCACACATGTTGCAAACTGCATGCTCAGTATGACTGTACCGTAGACTACATTGTACATGTTCTCTGTGGTGCCTTCTTCTGTTGTCGCCAGTGAGGGCGCTCTTCTCTTTTTTACGATTTTACGCTCGAACATTCATGATGTACAGTACAATGTTTCTGTATGGTACAGATAAACTGTACATTTGTGTGTTGGTAACTTGGCTCAAGTGTTGTAAGTGGTCCTTAGTACAACATTCCATCATGTTTGTTTTATAACTTCATGTTGAGGTAAATAAATAAAGTACCGGTACTTTGTAATTGTAGATAGAAGTGATTTTGATGTATTTACATTTTTACTAGATAATAACATGTGTACACATACATGTATACGGTACATGTACATGCTTGTACATGTACTTGTATTGGCTTTTGTAGATGGCTTCAACAGAACTTTTTAACTAATATTAATCTTAAGAGCGTTTTGGTTTTCCTTGATGAAACCTGGGATATTAATGAAGTGATATCTCTCTTTTCCTAATAATTTGTTTAACTGCAAGTGTCAGTGATGATTTTAACAGGCAAATGTTTTTTACAAATTTAAGTCCGATGCAAACACGGTTGTTTGTATTGTTTTGTGTCTGTGAATTATTGTTGGCTTTACATGTGTCACTGTGTCTTGTTCTCTCTCTACATGTGCCACTGCTTGTGTGTCTCTTGCTCTCTTTGCATGAGTCAGTGTCATTGTCTGTGTCATCTTGCTTGTCACACTAAGTGTCACTGTCTACATGTACATCTCTACATGTGTCACTGTCTGTATCACTGTCTCATCTACACATGTCACTGTCTGTGTCTGTGGTTCTCTCTCTTCATGTGTCACTATCGGTGTCTGTGTCTCTGGCTCTCTTTCTTCATTTGTCCCTGTCTGTTTCACTGTCTCTCTCTCTACATGTGTCCCTGTCTGTGTCGTTCTCTCTCTACAAGTGTCACTGTCTTTGTCACCAGTCACTGCTTCTCTCTACATGTGTCCCTGTCAGTGTCGTTCTCTCTCTACATGTGTCACTCTGTGTGTCACTATCTCTCTCCACATGTGTCTCTGTGCATCTTGTCACCTCACCCTGCAGGCACCCTATTCCCTCACCATCACAATCCATTTCACTGACAATCCATTAACCGACGGGTTTCCCCCTTTTTGGTATGTCTTTTTCTCCCCCTCTCCCTCCATCCACCAGTAACTATCCCGGGTACACACAGTATGATGATAACGATGGGTAAGTGGTCTTGTAATGCATGCCGGTGTGGGTGTCACTAACAACTACTTCTTATTCAGATGTGGAATTGGTTGTGCACTAATGTTTTAACCCCAAAATGCTTTTTGACACCACCTAATACCACACTTTGGGAGATTAATATTAATACATGTATACATGTAGTTATTCCACGAACGCGAGTGGAACACGGAATAATGTAGTGCATCTGTGTCCCATATGCTTCGGCCAATATGGGATACAGATGCACTTCCATGTTCCACGAGAGCGAGTGCATAATGAGTTTACTCACATGTATCTTCAAGCAAACTTGGATCGTAGTAAAGATGGAATGCTCATGCTGTAGATGCTTTCAGCAGTTATCCTACTTCGTGCGTACAGCAGGATTAGAACACTGCGATACCGTACGTGTGGTGATGAGTATGTAAACACTGGCAATCGTGGACCTAGGACTTGGGTTAGGGCACAAACAATACGTCCATGATTGACAGAACGTCCACGATTGAAATTTGTGAACAAAACCAATGAGAGCTGTTGCTAAAAAGTTAGAGTACAAACAAAGGAATGAGGATAAGGGACAATAGGGGGTCCACGATTGCTGGTGTTTACAAAGATGGTGTGTGGACTGTGGTATGTACATGTATCAGGGATATTATCTTCAAGCAAACTTGCAAACTTGAATCCTGCATCCTGATTGGTCGATCCATGGCAACAAGCCGTGCTACCGGTACATATCCATGTGGCACAGCCACGGCCCATACTGCATTCCGCGTATTCCGCTATTCTAAGATGCAAGCGCCATTCCGTACAACATGCACGTGTAATAGGATAACCGTTGAAAAGTTCGTGTACAGCATGCGTGTTTCATCTCTACTGCGCGTCAAGTTTGCTTGAAGATAAATTTGTTATATTTGTGGAACACGGAAATGTAGTGCGTCTGCGCCTCACATACCACTCGGCCTTCGGCCTCGTTGCATGTACCGGTAGGACACAAACGCACTAGATTATTCCGTGTTCCACTCGCGCTCGCGGGATAACTAATAATATTGTTGTTGCCACGGATCAACCAATCCGAATCGTGGACTCAAGTTTGCTGGAAGATACATGTAGTGATATATTTTGCAGAAAAAAGAAAGACTCATAGCTTCTCACTTTGGACTAATAATAGAAGTAGCATACACAGCCCAAAAACGGAGAGCTGCACCATGTTATTTCACAACTTGCAGAGGTTTATAAAAGCCGTGCACAAGTACCCCCTCACAGGCGAAAATAAGAAAGAGTGCCTGTATTGAAGGACCACTGGGCGCCATCTTGCCTGATGGAAGCTGGTGTACACATAGATTATATTAGTAGTGGTCGTGAACCAGTGATGCGTCTGTCACTCACTGTCTTTGTAAGGCTACAAATACCTTTCTGCCCATGCACAAACTTGAGATGCTTAAATGAGTGGCTTGATGAGGAGAACTAGTACATTTTCAGTGGCTCAAAGAGTCAAACAAACTGGGGGATTTTGATGGATTCAGGAACTGCAGGATTTTGATGGATTCAGGATACCTCTATATTGAGCTGTTGGGGGGACTTTGATGGATTCAGGATTCTCAACAGTTTAACTCTTTGGCTATGTTTGTGGTCCAGTAAATACTGCTTGTAGTCCTGCCAAGTCTTTCACACGCTTATAAGGCCTCAGCGTATAAAGAAGGATTATGTAAATAACCCATCCAGACAAAGCAATGCTGGGGTCGCCACCTCCATTCATTGGTTAGTGTACTGGGTATGTAAGATGACATTATTATCCATTGAAAGAAGATATCAATGTGTGAAATATTTTATGCACAGTGCTAATAAATGCTGAATAAGTCATGCTTCAGTAAACATGAAATATACAGTACATGGAGGACAATGGCTCATTGAAATAACCCTTACAGACAATACACACATCATGGTGTATGTATACCATGTAATTACTCACAGCCCAAGTTGAAAGGAAAAACAACCCCACATCATATCCACCAGCAGTTGAACCATGCAAGTGGTTTATTTTGATGGATCCTATGCAGCAACACACATCACAATTTTCATTCGAGCATGGTATCCTGAATCCGTCAAAATCCACCAGAAATTTAGGTGATGGATTTTGAAGACTCTATGGAGAAACATACATAAAGCCACCATGGTATCCTGAATCCATCAAGACTTTTTCTGTTGGACTTTGATGGATTCAGGATACCTCCAGTATTTACACTGGTGGATTCTGACACCAACTCAGGACACCAACATTTTTTGCGTGACAAAATTGGTGGATTTTGGCGGATTCAGGATACCTTCTAGTAAAAGTGCCCAAGGCGTTAGGGTTAAATGTGTATACCTAGGTTTTGCTGGACCCAGAGAGCCAGCGTAATCTGACTGGCTGACTGTCACTTGTGACTTACACATGTACGCTGGTTGTAGACTGTGGAGCTGGGCAGTGCTATTGTATAGGATATACTCCGTACTGCCAATGAATGGACTACATGCAAATCTGGCCCATTGAGTAGATGTGTTTAAAAACTGCTAGTGAATAGCCATTCTGGATCATTTAAATAAATTTGTGAGTTTTAATAGACTTGCCATTTCTGTCAATTTATTGAACAAGTGTGCCAGTTTTATTGTTCTCTTTGCTTGGTTAACCATTTCTATCCATACTCTGTGGTGTGTGTGCTTGCTAACATCATAGTAATTCCATACTATACATGTAGTTGTCTGCTCCTTAGGTAACCAATTTCTCTGTGATGTACCGTACTCGAGTTTTAAAAAGGGTTGATGATTTTAAGACATGACAGTACATGATTTTAAAGTTTTAACTTTGAATTTAACATGTTTAAATAATAGTTTTAATAGATATTTAACTCTTTCATGAAATAAATACATGTAGTCAGAACAACAGATAAACATACTTACACTACTGTAGATATTCTTGTATTTGTTTTTGTTTTTTCTTTTGTTTACAAAATATACACATGTTCATATGTAGTGAATTAACATGCATACAACCGTAGATGTTTCCATGAACGACTTGATTTTGCTTTCCTATCCTACAGTGTTGTAGATTCGACACACGTCATGTGTGTAGAGTACAATACATAACGTTCATTTTTTGTAGTGCATGACTTGTGACTTACATGTGTGACAAATAGACTATTTGCATGGCATCCATCTTATTAGAGGGCATTCAGTATTTGAGATGTTGAATGAAGAAAAAGTCTAGTCATGCCAATCCCAGCAGACCAAAGACATTGCCCTCTAAGATGGATTCCATTCATAATGTTTATTGTACACCGTTTGTATGTGAACACTCTTGTTAAGACGAGGGGCCAATTTCACGGCGCTGCTAAGCACAAAAATTTGCTTAGCACAAAAAAAGTGTGGCTTATAAAAGCAGGTAACCAGCCAAAACTCCACGTGACGTATGTTGCTCATGATTAGTATTCAACTGTTGTTTGCTTAGCATGAAAATCACATGGAGTTTTGGCTGATAACCTGCTTTTATAAGCCAGACTTTTTTTGTGCTAAGCAAATTTTTGTGCTTAGCAGCGCCGTGAAATTGGGCCCAGTTTACTTTCAGTTTTATAAATTATACATGTACAATAGAAGTTGTTTGGCATAAACAGATTTTATGGCTTCTGACTAGCACCCCTTGAAAAAAAAAGATATTGACAAAAAAATGGGGAACTGCCAACATAGGGCTGGATAGCTCAGTTGATAGAGCACGGGAACGGCAATCCAGAGGTCACAGGTTCAAACCCTGATCCAGCCAATTTCTTTGCTCAAGTTTAAAAATTGTTTACATTTTTACAGTTTGGACTTTGGAGAATGAGAAATGTTGAGCTTCTATTTCATTTTTCTGAGGGCTTCATATATTTTAGTAGAGCTTAGAACTAAAAAAAACAAAACTTACTTTCAGTTCGTGATTTTTATTTTAGTCTATTCAGCAGTTTTTGTTCAAGTCAAAAATGTGCACAGACCATGGGCGGATGGATTTGTTAGGTGATTTGCTGCTTCTTGTCTTGATTGTCCACAGGCAAATGTCGCAAGAATCGCATGATGAGGAGGTGAAGGTGAGGGCGCTCTACAAATACGAGGGTCTAGAGGACGATGAATTGTCCTTCGAAGTGGGTAAGTCTGCCGATTGACCAATCACAAACCAGCATTTGGTTTTAAAATTTATGGAGAGGTAGTATACAAATATTGAGTGGCTCAGCGTGGAATGGGAGGAATATTATCGCAAGGTAAAATCTGGACTTTTCACGAGGCAAAGCCAAGTGAACTGGAAAAGTCCAGATTTTACTGAGTGATAACATTCCTCCCATTTCACAATTTAAAGTCACTCAATACTTGTTTTATATAACTGACATATAGATCCTTGTCATTTGATATATTTGAACTTTTATTTCAATACAAACTGGTGGAAAATGTATTTCTCTCTTCCAAACCGCCCCTTCCCGAAAATGTTAGGACCCAACGCTGTAGCGCTGGCTCTTTGGGACAATACGCGCTACGCGCAACGCTGAACGCGCACACCAGCATGCATTTGCACATGGAACAGAGAATGATCCTAACTGTTCAATAGTATTTCCCATTCCCTATGGATGGGTGGATAGTACTTTTTGAGCAAAAACAAATGTCACGTGATGTGAGTTCCACCAATCAAATGACAAGGATCTGTATGTTGGTTATATAAACATGGACAGCGTATGCCCATTACGCCATACTTTAATTTATGCCACTTTTTGACCAGTTCGCCCCCGGTCTTCCAAATATGGCCGCCGATATAATGCAAACATTCTACATGTCCGCGTACATACCAGCACCCGCTGTATCAAGATTTTACGCGGTTTTTGTTCACGTACACATATTATGATGACATGTGAAAAGGACAAGTTTCCGTCGTGATTATATTTCCAAACGTTGTAAATTGTAAACTGCGACTTTCAAAAGCGGCGTTTAAAATACTGTGAACTACGGTGGACAAAAGGTGAACCAGCATGTTACTAAATTGAAACGCAGCATTTAAGAATAGATGTAAGTCGGCAAGTATATACATGTTTAGATCAGTGGATCGCACTTGCCAGGTATTTGGACCGGGGGGAACAAAAACTGCCAAATTTATGCTAATGTATTCATAATTTATTGATGTATTCCAGGTGACATATTAACAAAGCTGGAGGATGAGGACGAGCAAGGCTGGTGTAGGGGGCGGTACAACGGCCGGGAGGGGCTGTACCCGAGCAACTACGCTGAACCTGTCTAAAGACCACACCCCACACGTCTACTTATCCACTCCTGTCATCAACTCTTCCACTGATTTCCTTCGAGTGGATCCCGGTTCTGTGAAGTGTGGATCCACTAATATGAAATTTTGCAAAAGAAAAAGACTCCATTGGCAACTTTCTTCAGAGGTTATCACACTAGCGGTTTATACATCTATTGTCGTGTGATCCCTTTTTAGTGGATCAACTGAATATATCTGGATCAACGAATATATTAGTGGATCAACTAATATATTAGTGGATCAACTGAATAATATCAGTGGATCAATAGAAAATGGATCACTCAACTTGTACAGTCCATCCAGTTTTGTGATCAACTCATCCACTAATACAAATCCACACAGTTGGTCCTCTTAAATTGGTTTGTAAATATCAAAAATATCAACGACATCAGCTCGTTCAGTGGATCAACCCATCTACCGTTTGCGTCAACTAAAACAAGTGGATTCACTAACTGGGCCAGTAATAAATTAAATCAGCTATCTTTAATCAGCAGTTAGCCCTTGCTACCTTTTTAAGTTTATTTACATAATGGAATCTTTGAAATTATCTTTATTCAGTTTTTTTCTATTATCTATAAAGTATACAGAATGATTGCGAGGTCACAAAAAGTTAACTTTTCTGTCAGCAAATCAAGACTGCAAGTCCACTTCATGTGGATCCACTAACACTCTTCATATTGTTCCACATGCCGTTGATCCACTCTGATTTTGCTGATTCACATGTCACCGATAAGCTGTATTAGGTTTGTGCAGACGTATCTTCATCAGCATATCAGCGCTTTGCAGTCGCTTCAACAACAATCAGTGGATCCGCTCGCATTGTAGGTTGATTGTTGCATTACAAATTTCAACTCTAGTTGATCAACCAATTCCGGTTTTGTTATGTTTCCCCTCATATTTTCACAGCTCTTCCCTCTTCGTGTTTTCAATGTAATCTGTACAAACTAAAAACAAATCTTTACATCAAACTAAAAAAAAAAAAACTCATGCAAACGATACTAGACCATTCCTTTGTTTTCTTTTAAAAACATATTTAAAAAAATGTTCATTGCCAAATAAACCTTTAAGTGTAAATTTTTCGGGTTTTTTTTGCAAAGTAAAAAAAAGGCGTATTTTCTGTTTTGGAGGTCATTGGCAGATGAGATATTTTTGTACCTAGGTGAAAGACAGTTTGTAAAAAAAAAAAGAGTTAAGACGATATGGTTTTTGAAAAGATTGGAAAAGAGGTTGGAGGTACATGCATTTAATACGAAGTGGCCCACTTTCCTGGAGCTGCTTAACAGAGAATATAGCTTAGCGAGTTTGCTGTGATAAGCAAGTTAGGCCAAATGAAAAAATAAACCAGTTTCTCGTTCCCTCTCGCTTCTTTTTTTCCCGGCTACTGTTTTTTTTTAAATTTTTTTTATTCATACATTTGCGCTATTTTTTGCACGTTTATTGTTCGTATATTGTCTTATTTGTTTCCAAGAACATTGTAGCTATGAAGGATGATGGCCTTTGGACACAATTTTGTATCAGAAAAAGAGTCGAGAAAAGTGAAGAATCTGTCCGCCATCTTGGAAAATCCGCCATCTTGTGAAAAAAAGAAGAAGAAAAAAAGCAAGAATACAAAAAGCGCCCGTCTCCTACATATCTTCAAAAAAGCCAGACGAGAAACTACTTATTTTTTTTACTTGGCTTTAGTTGCCATAAGCCACAAGCAACATCAATGCACATCACATGACTTTTCTGCTGCTTTCCCATTTTTGCGATGGAACAATATTTTTTTTCTTCTAAATTTAGACAATTTTGTGCTATTTAGCCTTCCACAAAATTGGCCCGGTGTGTGAAAAATCGCAAAGGTTTTTTAACCGATTTTGGCGGGGAGCTGTTAAGCACGTTAACTTGCTTAGCTGAAACAGGTAAAGCCAAATAAGAAAAAAGAATAATTTCTCCTCCAATTTTTTTTGGAAAAAAGGAGGACGCAGGCACTTATTTAACATTTTTTTGGGGGATAATGACGGATCCAAAATGATGCAGGTTCTTTTTTCAAAAACATCCAGCACTTTTCCAAGAGGCTGGATGCTGTTTTCTACAAAATGCACATCACTTTTCTAAGATAGGCTTTTGATTTATCTCAAAATGGAACTCATTCATTGTTGGAAACAAGTATTAAGACATAAGATATTTCTGATGGTGAAAATGTAAAAACAAAGATGGCGGATTTCGCTACTTAAAAAAATGATTATTTAAAAAAAAAAAATTGATACGGCTGGAAAAAAAGGATGCGGGCGGGGACAAGTAACTGGTATACTTTTGTAGTTGGCCTAACTTGCAAAAAACATATGATATTGCGTAGAAGTGGTTCCTGGCAAAATTTGTGTCCACCGTGTACAATTTTGCGGAGCACTACTTTCCTTCCGAGCAGCTCTACGAAATCGGACCAAGATGGAGACGGCATGCTGGGCTCCAAGGGTCTCTTTCTTGAAACTGCCCAGCAGAAGCAAAAGACAGCACTGAGAACCAGTTGAAGCGCTGCTACTCTGCATGGCATTTTGACTGGTATCCTGCGTTACCTTTTGCTGAGCAAGAAGTCATTTTGCGCTTCGCAAATTGTTCGTCAGCTGAGCAGATTGGAAACTGGCCCTTAGTGGAGCGACAAATGTTTTTAAAAAAATCAGGTGATTCCAGCCTTATTGTATTCCTTCATTCATTACGTTTTTTTTTTTTATTCGTGTAAGAGTAGAATTGGCATTGATAAACATACATAGTATCAGTTTAGTTGATAATAATAATGATAATGTTCTATGCGTGCGATTACTTCCCCTGTGCTTAATACTCGTGCAAGCGTGACTGCGTTCAATTTAAAGGGAATATACAACATTTGCAAACATCGAAAAACAAACCTACCTATTTTTTACGAAATACCTTACTAGGATGTTGGTAAATTACAGTCTAAATCATCCTGTAAAATTATGGCACCATGTGTAAAGTCATTTTCAAGAAAAGTGGTATTTTGTATAAATTTACAACGGTGGTCGGCCGACCACCATCGGAAAAACCTAACTATTTTTCAACTACTGCTCCAAATTTACCATTTTTTTTCAGTCCAAATTTTGTTTGCTTTTGGTTACATGTTCATGAACGGGTGCAGGCCAGTTAGACTGGTTCCATTACCTTACAATTTTCCGGCATCTATAAATTGGTCCATTTCATCTTTAGTGAAGTCAGGGAACAAGACTACTTGAACATTTTTGTTTTTCTTGGTTTTTCCATTTTTTTTTACACAAAACTTCAAACATGTCAGTGTAACAATATTTGATCTGTTATACTAACCCCTCAAAATAGTTCATTTCTGAAAATTACAGCAAAAGCCAATGATGTACATTCCCTTTAACTCTCACGTGACTTCTCGCGCTTAGTTGAGCCTGGTCCAAGTAACCGACCCACTGAGCGGGTTACTTAGGTACGTATCCCACAATACAATGTGAAAACATGGCGGCTAAGTCTAACGCTGCGGCGCCGGGATTCAAAAGTGTCTCCGCTTCACTTCTCACGAGTAGTACTACTAGTACTAGATGACAGCTCGCTTTCAACGGCTCGTCGCTTTCGGTACTCAGTTCATAAGTGTGACATCATTTCAACTTGACCCACACCCACTGCGCGCGCACGGAGTAGCATTGGAACCATAGACATATAATGAAACCTAGACACGACATTTGCTATCGCGCCTGTGAGCAAAATGCTGCGCTTATACATGAACACTCTCCACAGGTGTGACGCGTCGTGCAAGTGAGCGGTCTCACTGCGCGCGTTATTTGAAATCTTGTCCCGTACCCGCGTGGGAAAAAACTAAGTGGCGCACAAGTGCATTGGCGCTGGCCTGAACATGGAATACGTGGAATTCGTATGAAGCATGCGCGTAAATCAAAGCCACATGATATTTCGCGTCTCGCGCCAGGCTGCGTGACGCCGCTCTTTTTTGCTCACAGAATTTACAACGTAAAAGCAGATAATGTCGTGTCTAGGTTTTATTGTATGTCTATGATTGGAACCGGAAGAAGTACATAGTGGTGTTTTTATAGCCAATACGCGCTTGTAATCAATGGTGCGTGCGCGTGTATGACGCAGTCCCTTACGGAGCACCGAAGTGTGACGTCATTTCGAACCAGAAAGTGTAGTGCAAACGAATGGAGTACGTGCGCGTGTTGGTTCACGGGCTGAATCACGCGCTAATGTCTTTCACACACATTTTGTGCGCGTGACGTATTCACTTCGGTACTCCATACGAAATGGATTGGGATCGTGTAGGAAGCTCAACTTCCACCAGTCCCTCTGTTGGCCATTTTTTTGAAAGATTTGGTGTCTCATTGTCATATTAGACCAATCATATGCCAGATAGTTCATTGTAATGCGTGCCGTGCTTGTCGTGGCATATAGCCTGTTAAATAGACAAAGCGGTTGTCATAAAATTGTCCATGTAAATTCTAATGATAGCAAATATGCAAACACAAAAATAGTATCGATATTTTTGTTATAGTTTTAAGTTAATAGACTGTATTGTTTAGTCACTTGTGAATGTAATTAAAGACAGTAATAATGTGTGGTTTGTTTTAGTTGCAAAATATTGCAATGTAAATTTATGGAGGTTAATTATTCGGGGCTTGTAATGTATGTATAACATTTTTTTGTATTTAATCATCTGATATATTATTATTGTTATTGGTACGATTGCATTACCACAGAATGAGCGAAGCAAAAACATTTGTACAGATTTTGAGATATAAAAGAGAAAATCGAATAATTTTTATTTGGAAAAAAAAAATGTAAAAACGTTAATAGAGATATCGCTGACAATAATAGTGCTGTAAACATGGTATATTGCTTGAATGTTAAATGAACATTAAGAAATCGCTGAATTCCTTTGTTCAGGGTAGGGCTATGTAAAATTCTAAAAATCCATCCATTTACATGTATAATAGGTGTATCAAATATAAATACTTTTCCCGCCATCTTGGCGTAGTTCCCAGAATCCACAGTGAACAGTGTACACATTACCTCACATATACTGCAAGCACCAGACTGGGGTTTCACGCACTTCTATTAGTGATATCGTCACGATACTGAGGTTGATCCTCAAAATTCTATTGACTAAACTTATTAAATTATGCATATATTATTATTGTTTTTATTTAATTGGCATTTGTTTATCTGTACATGAAGTGCATGCATATAATGTATACGTTGCACATGCATGTCGTAGCTTATTATTTAATTATTGGTTGAAACGGTCAGGATAAATATTAAACCAAAATACTAAGTTCCATTACGTCACCACAGGATAGACATTTTTCACAGGTTTTTTTTTTTTTTAACTATAACCTTAAACTAAACCTAATTTTAAGAAGGAAAATGGGTTTCTTGTTAAAACCACAGGAAAACCTCTTTAAAAACAACATGAAATTGTTTTTTAAAAATTGACCTGTGACCTCAGTAAACCAATATCCGCAAATTTGGACTGCAGAGTTATGTTTTTTTTTCCTTTTATGTACTTCGGCACATGCTATAAATTCTTTTTGAATTTTTCACATTGGAGTTTTTGCTCCCCATAGTTGAACTTTATCTATTAATAATTTGATGTTTCTTCAGCATAACTTTGATCTTTTATCTTCTCATGGTCCCCCATAGTTGGGGCCTAAATCTGCTGAACCTAATCTAAGGGTTTGAAACCCCCCTCACCATTTGTAGATTAGCCCCTCCCCTCCACAGAATTCTTATTTATGCAGGACAAAAGTTAACATATTGAATGGAATACTTAAAGGGAATGTACAACATTTGCTTTTGCTGCAATTTTCAGATATAAATGGATTGGAGGATAAGTATATTACAGAAAATATTGTTTAACTGACTTGTTTCATGTTTTGGGCTTGTAGATGCTGGAAAAACCAAGAAAACCTATCATGTTTTTGTAGTCTAGTTCTCTGACTTCACTTAAGATGAAACAGAGCAATTTATACACTTTGGGGAATTGTAAGGTCAGAGAATCAGTCTAGCACCCTTCACAGATGTGTAATCAATTGCAAAGAAAAGTCAGAACCAAATATGAAAAATTAGGAACAGTTCTTGAAAAAGCCAGTTTTCTCCAATGCTGGTCGGCCGACCAGCGTTGGGAAAATACAAGTTTTCTTGCAAATGTCAGCACACCAGGAGCAACAATTTTACAGGATGCTTTAGACTGTCAGTCCCTAACAATTCAGTAAGGTATTTTGTGATAAGTTGATCGTTTCGTTTTGTGATGTTTGCAAATGTTGCGTCTTCCCTTTAATCCTAATTTGCTCGTTACCTTTCTCTCGAATTGATATTAAATCCTCCCCATCTGCAATTGTCTCAAATTTTCCCAAATAATTCGCAGTAAATTACAAAAAAAAATCACGCATTCCTTTCGCTGTTTTGGTGGTTGATGCTTAATATGATTCACTGTAATTGGAGTAATAATGTATATAAATTGCTACATGTAACTAGGTTTTTGTTGATTTATTATAAAAGCAGGCGTATTGCTTGGAGTGATTTCTCTGGTAATAAATAATCACAAGGTTTATAGAGAAAAAGGTGTGGTGAAAAAATTCCTTGTATTTTTGTAAGTCCTGAAATCTAGGTTATTTGAAAACACCAACGTTGACATGGGCACAGTATAAATGGAATTTGTACGTGCAAAATTTATTCATTCAAGGTTTGCATACAATTGATAATCATATTGATTTATAATAATTTAGTACAATCATTTTAGTTCTAAACACATTTGACAGTGAGATGTAGGATATTCACACCCACCAATTATATGTTTGTCTTAAGTTACCTGCGACTACAAACCTATTCTATATCTTTTAGGCCAAAATGATTTATTTTCCGAAGTTGAAAGTCAAAACCTGGTATTCTCTCAATCGATGTATATATTCACACATTCGAATTTAAAGGCATATTACAGGGTCATTTGCTTTTCATGCATTTTATTCGTTTCCAATTATAACGCCACTCTAAATCAAAAGAAGAATGTTCAAAACCTAACCTGTTGAAGTTGAACCGTAAATCCCCAGTATAATTTACTAGGAACCGTACCCATTCAGGCAAATTCCAACACCCACATGGGAAATTGTACACACACACTGTTGGACTTGATTTCTGGAGGTACATGTATGTTAACCCCAGTGTAAAAGACCATCAGTTTAGGGGTACTGTACTTATCCCAACAGATTTAAACAAAACCTACTGTTGAACTTTGATGGGATGAATTCTGTTAGGGTTAAATGGAAATGATCCCATGTGCCTTTAAATATGTTCATCAGAAGGGGCATTATATAGAACAAAAATCGCTCCGTAATCTATAAAAACGGGAATAAAACTCCACTATCACCACTGAGACTTCAGGGTCCCAGACCAAGATGTCTCCAACTGTCAGTACCAATTCTCCCCTTTCCCGAAAACTGAAGAATCAATTAGGCTGGTGCCAGTTTGTGATTACAATTTTTACAAAAGATCACCATTGAGACTTCAGGGTCCCTGACCAAGATTTCTCAAACTGTCAGTACCAACTCTCCCCTTACCCCACACTGAAGAATCAAATAGGCAGGTGCCAGGTTGTAATTACAGTTTTACAAAAAGGTTGCCATTGTGACTTCAAGGTCCCAGACCAAGATGTCTCCAAACGCAAGTATATCTCCAATGTCCCCTTTTTCCCATATAATTGAAAAAATTGCAATAGGCTGGTGCCACTTTGTGATTACAGATTTTACAAACAGATTGCCATTGAGACTTTGGATTATCAGACCAAGATGGCCGCTGGAATCCATCATTAACTCCCACCGCCGCCCCCTCCTCTTCCAGAGTCTTGCTGCCCGCTGGACATCATGACGAATATAACCACCGGCACAATGTACATCCACTGACAAAAAGGAAAGAGAAATGTTCAGAGATAAATGTTCATTTTCACAAAGCTTTCTACTTTCTTGGATGGGAAATGCTGGAAGAATCATATTTGAATTCTATGCAAACATACATTGTGTGCCAAGTTGTCCTTTCAGTCAAAATCAATCAAGGGACTGTTTTTAACAGTTAAGATCTCACAGCAACATAAAGCAGGATTGACTGGCTGTGACTGTTTATGTAACTTGATACAGCTACGCTTTGACTGTAGGTGATTGATAAGCCAGCTGTGCTTATCACCTATCTGCTTTTGTCTGTTGACTGAACTTGACTAGTCACAGTGCTTGCTTGAAATATGATCTGACTGTTGGTGACTAGCCTGTGTAAAAGGCATGGCAGGGAAGAGGATTGATTTGTTTGACTGACTGTCCATGACTGTTCAAACAGCAAGAGGGTTTAGGATTTTAGTAGACAGTGGGGTTAGACTTACATATTTGGCAAAGAAGGAGCGATTATCTGCCGAGTTGCCCTTGGCTTTCTGCGCTTTCTCCTCTTCTATTTTTTGAACGTAGGCTTGCGTCTCCGGCCTGTACAATTAAATAAGAAAATGTCATCAATGAATCATCTTAATATTTCAGTATCCTCTTTTACCTCTTATTGTAATGGACCCTTCCTGCCTGTCAGTGTTTAGTGCGCATTGACCAATGAGATCATGACCTTTGGTCAGTGACCAAGGTAGCTCAGTCAAACTTTGTCACAAGGTATGTGAGAAATGTACACAAAACACAGGTGGGCGGAGCTTAGGGCCTAAATGGAACGGTCCAATGTTGTCAGTGATCTAGGATTGCTATTGTTAATGCACTTCACTGTTGTGCAGCGTTATTTAAACAGTTCACCAATCACCATTCATCATTTATGTCGCAAGACAAACCATTTTTTCAAGAGGGGTGGGCTTGGTTAGGTACATCCCACTCATACTTACATTGGCGCAGGCACAGTGACTTCCAGCGACACCGTCGTGTTGAAGTAATTCAGCGCAGACGACTCGATCTCGGTCTGATCACATGACCCTCGGAGGGGGACGATACTGACGCCCATGACGTTCCCTGATTGGTCAGCGTGGACGGTGATATGATCCGAAAGCCGCGACTCCACGAGGGCGCACTGTATTCAGTGTGAAACAAACGGGTAAATATACTCCGAACTTTTAGGCAATGCGATTTTACAAAATAATCATCAACTACTCTTACCGGCCAAAAAAGTACAAAGATAAGTTAAAATACAAACGAGCAGAGCATGGAATAATTGAAAATCTCACCGCTTTTGTAAAAGTCGAGACGTATTGGACATCTTCACTGTCAGTGGGGGCGCCAAACTTGGAGGCTACGCGTATTCTGTACAGCCCTTCTGTCCTTGCCACCTCCTAAACAGAATCACAACAAAATGAAATTTATGTGAAAATAGACATTTTGGTTACGCACGACACGATTTGGGGCATTCATCTTTACTGTGCTACTTCAATTCCTCCAAATTTCCAACACTTGGAGCTGTATTGTATCGCACACATGTGTATTTTTTTTTTTATTGGATTCACGCTGCAAACAATTAACAAATGTGAACCAAAGGGTACAACCAATGTGCCAATCAATGGTTTTGCTGAACATGGAAAAATTTGTACAGGGTGAGTAAAAAAAAAAAAACCGAAACCCAAATATCAGGACTATTGTGTTATTGAATTTCTGCATGTAGCACTTTGAAAATCTAGGATATGAAAGCCCAATTCATAAGCTTTCTTTTACTACAAAAGTCATTCAAATCTCACATGTACTTTTCAAGTTACGGAATTTTAAACACAACCACCGTTTTAAAGTTGTGTCCGCGGATCACAAAAAAGGGGTGTGCGTTCTTTCAGCAAAACGATAACAATTCACGCACATCCCTATGTGATTTGTTTTCGTTTTGCTGAAAGAACACTGAACTTTTTTGGATCCGTGGACAGAACCTTAAAATGGTGGTTGAGTTTAAAATTCCTTGAAAAACTTGAAAATTACAGGAGTGATTTGAATGATTCTTGTACTAAAAAAAAGCTTATGAATTGGGCTTTCATATCGTACATTTTGAAAATGCTACATGCATAACTTCACAAAAACAATGGTCCCCACATTTGGGTTTCGTTTTTTTTTTTAATACTCACCCTGTAGTATCCAAAGTCCACTATCACGATTGTGTACCAAATCTGTGGGAAGTCAAAATTTTTTTTCGTGTATTTTCCAACAGAATTGACCGTCTGTCAAGGTCTGGATAGCCCAGTTGGTAGAGCACCGGAACGGCTATCCGGAGGTCGCAGGTTCAAGCCCCGCTCCAGTCAATTTCTTTGTTCAACTTTTCAAAAATTGTTGTAATTCACCCAGTCAGTTTCCCTTTGTGGTTCATTTGAAAATTTGTAATAAAAGCAGATCCTCTCTGAGAGATCCCCGTTTGCTATTTCCTAGGTCTGTATCGTGACTTTGGGCGTGATCCCTGGCTGTATGGCATACTGGTTTATGGCATCCGACTAGCGTCCCTTGAACAAAGATATTGACAAATTTGGGAACCGCCAACATAGGGCTGGATAGCTCAGTTGGTAGAGCACAGGAACGATAATCTGGAGGTCGCAGTTTCAAACCCTGCTCCAGTCAATTTCTTTGTTCAAGTTCTCACGAATCTGGAAACATTTGCGATGACATGTACATTTATTTTGGTTCTAATTTCCAGACAAGGTTGGCCCATGAGATGGCAAGTACCTTGAGTTTTCGCTTCTCTCCAGCAGTCAGCGCCGTGCCTTGGCTGAAGGAGCCCGGCCCTGCCTTCAAGGATCGGAAATTGAGGGTACCCCTGTTTGTGAATTTGATGTTCACTCCTGAAAAAAGACAACCGTACCAAAAAAATACAATCAGATATAAAATCGGCAGGCAACACTGCAGAATTCATTATCAACTACCACTCATTGTTTACTCACCAGGCTCAAATGAGTGTTCAATCAGCAGTGAGTTATCGGACGAGTAAGGTGAGAAGTCATCATCGTTGGCTGACCTCTGGTCTCCCTGTGCGGATTTCAATGAAGATTTTAGGAGTGAAAATTAAGATTTCATTTATTGTATAATATCATGATATAAATACGTACAAAGTTAAACAACTAAAGAAATTCATCCGATGAAAACCTCTATTCATTTGCACACCAGTTTTCATCGGTTGCTATGCCTACATGTATGTGTTAACATTCAGCACTCCAGACCAGATTCAATGTGTTCAAGAACATTGACTTTCAAGAACATAGGTCTGGGAGCTAAATGAGCCAATGTGAATAAAAAAAACCCTGCATAGAGAAAGTGGCGTCTGAATAGATAGCCTATGTACCACAATGACAGATACAACAGTAAAAATCTAGTCTGAGTATCACCCGTTATCCACGGAGCCAAGTCTCCTGTCTAACGTCTGATATGTCTTGACATGCAGATATATGCAAGCCGGCCGCGCGCCAGCATATCGGAGTCATCTTTACTAAATCGTGACATCATTTCATTCCCAAATCAGGACTAATGGCAGTGGTTTGATTGGTCAATTCGTACAAAGTGTTTTGTAATACAACAACAGCCGGGCGCATATCGCATTACATGACACAGTGTCACAGAGCGCATGACACAGGTTTTTTTAAATCCATATCTATGACGCGCAACGGAACGGGTGATTGTCCGAAAACCTGACATATGAAAGCACCGTACCAACTGAATGATTGGTCAAAATCTAAAGGTCAAGATGCAGTTGTCTTGCAAAATTAAACAGCAAATCTGCTCAAATGTAATGGTCTATTACATAGACTAGTAAAAATCAGCCCCCCCCCCCCAAAAAAGGTACACGCCCCTCTTTCTTTGTTAAAATTAAATAGAATTTAACAGTTAAAAATAAAATCACTTCTCTCTTTTAATTTTTTCCTGGATAAATGAAAACGAAAACGCACATATTTAATGATTCTAATAAAACACGTGACAGCCATCTATTCTATGTATCAGAGCCCATTATTACCTTCCTGGATCCACCAACCAAAAGAAAACAGACTAAAAGTGCACACAAAAATGACAAAATTTCTCGTGCACTGAAGGCTGCCATTTTGACTAAATGATTTCTGTCGCTTGAGGGGGTTGTCATATTTTACCACGCGCGATTTCGATTTCTTGTGCGATTTTTTTTATTTTTCCCAATGGTCAAATCTACGGAAGCTTGAATTGCCTTCCGAGATACCGCGTTACCGCGATAATTTATCGCAGAAATCAGGAAATCAGAGATAATTCCTTCCGCGATACCGCGTTACTGTGATAGTTTATCACAGAAATCCAGAAATCAGAGATACCTTTTCCTCGATACCGCGTTACTGCGATAATTTATCACAGAAATCCAGAAATCAGAGATAATTCCTTCCGCGATACCGCGTTACTGTGATAATTTATCACAGAAATCCTGAATTCAGAGATAATTCCTTCCGCGATACCGCGTTACTGCGATAAATTATCGCAGTAACGCGGTATCGCGGAAGGAATTATCTCTGAATTCTGGATTTCTGTGATAAATTATCACGGTAACGCGGTATCGCGGAATAGATATCTTTGATTTCTGGATTTCTGTGATAAATTATCACGGTAACGCGGTATCGCGGAAGGAATTATCTCTGATTTCTGGATTTCTGTGATAAATTATCGCAGTAACGCGGTATCGTTGAATGATTTATCTTTGATTTCACGATTTCTGTGATAAATTATCGCAGTAACGCGGTATCGCGGAAGGAATTATCTTTGATTTCCTGATTTCTGCGATAAATTATCGCAGTAACGCGGTATCGTTGAATGATTTATCTTTGATTTCACGATTTCTGTGATAAATTATCGCAGTAACGCGGTATCGCGGAAGGAATTATCTTTGATTTCCTGATTTCTGCGATAAATTATCGCAGTAACGCGGTATCGCGGAAGGAATTATCTTTGATTTCCTGATTTCTGTGATAAATTATCGCAGTAACGCGGTATTGCGGAAGGAATTATCTTTGATTTCCTGATTTCTGCGATAAATTATCGCGGTAACGCGGTATCGCGGAAGGCAATTCAAGCTTCCGTACAAATCAAATCCTTTAGAAAATTACCATTAAACCCCATAACAATTTTTCTCACGCACATAGAAATTAGGCATATAATCTTATCGTAAGTTTAGTGAAAATGTTTGCATTCAAATATTCAGGGACCATTGTGAAAATTTTGATATAGCACTATCCCCTCCTTTCTGAATGGGATGTGCCACTTTCATCCGGAAGTTTATCATGAATATTCATGTTATTGAATAAAAGTGGCCATTGTCGATATCGATCGATACGTGGCGCCCTTGCGAGCGAACGTTCCGCGCGGAATTTCCTTGAACGTCGTCGATGACTCGATTTTCGTCAGCCAGGGAAATTGCCACGCCCGCGAATTCGCCCTTGTTATAAAAACAAAAAACATCCAGGATCGGACTTGACGAAATTTTGAGAATACAGTTCCTCTTGCAAGTGACTGACGAGGTCAGGATTGTGATAAAACTCGCTGCATTTTGGCAGGTAAGTTGACAGATTTTTTGCTGTTGTTGACGCGATTTTGACGACGCTTGTTGAAGAAAGCCGTTGCAGTGTGGGAATTAATTTGTAGCGGGCTGGAGCGGGGTTGCTGACGGGGCCGAATACGGGTTATTTTCTGGCTGTGTGCGGTGGTTTTTCAAGGTGCGTGAAATGAACTTGCAGTTGACCCCGCTAGGGCTACATGAATGTTTACAAGCATGCGACATAAGTGGTTTGTGTATTCCCTGACTGTCTTTCTACAGTCAGTAGTAAGGCTAAATGTAAATGTGAAAAGCATTAGCAAAAAATATCGATAGCGAAAGAGGTTTAGAATTAGATTTAATGGATTGAATGTGTTTTGTTTTGTTGATTGAAATTGTTTTGACCATTTGAAATTGGTGAGATTGTCTGTGATAGGCCTACCGCAGTATCAGTACCACGACAAAATGCTAAAGCAATGAAGTTTGGAAAGAATCATTATATATAAACTTTTGTGTGGACATTTATGATGACTCTTTGATTTTTTGGAGTCGATGTAAAAAAATCACATTCAAGTTTTTTTGTTACATTTCTGTACAAGCCCAAAGTCTTTCTTTGCCTTAGATGTTACACACATTAAAGCTATAGTCCATCATTTGTAATTAGTGCATTTTGTTCGTTTGAAGCAACAAAAGTGTTCAAAATCTAATGAAGGATACTGAACAACTTACTTGATGAAGTTTCAGCTCAGCTTCAGCTTCATATTCTGAGAAAAACAGCATTCTAGGATCTTAATTTAAAATCAAAAGTTGCTAAATCATGTAGGCCTATCGAATTGTTTTGAATTGCAGCTTTACGCGATGTTGCGCACTGATCCAACGAATTATAGCAACCGCGCACGCCTGTGCGTCATTCCAATGCTTGTGCGCGCTGCGCCGAATAACAAAACGAACAACTAATTTAAATTTTCCTACGGTGCTTCTTAAGAAGCACCGTTGGAAATGCCTTCTTTCGTTGATTTCTTCAAAATGAGAGCTTGCCAGAAAGGATAATTTGACAGGGAGTTTAGTCCCCTTACTATCTTTCAACCAGTATGTTTTTCAACAATAATTACGCCGGTTACTTTTTTGGATAGCTGCAAATGATGGACTCGGGCTTTAACCTAATTATACTTTAATGCCTCAGATTGCCACCTTAAAAAAGACTTTCAAAATGTTGCCATGATTGTATTTAAACTCAATACAGTGTTCCTTCCTCCGTGGTGTAATTTATTCCATTCAAAGTACTAAAAGTACAACTACAACCCGCAACATAAACAAGATTTGTGTAAAATATTACTAGGCTAGTACTACATCATACATGTAGTTCTGGAAAGCCCCAGCTAAAAATAAAAACACCATGCTTGCCTTCAGGGAGTCTTTCATAGCAGTTATGATTGTCACTTTTTTGGTTTGGATCATGGTACATGATATTGTTGTATGACTGCTGCAGTTGTATCGTTTGTCAAGTCAACAAACTTTGCAGTCATGCTGTCGTGGTTTGCTGCATACACGTAGTGGTGTTTATTTCCTTAGGGAAGGGAAATCAAATTTCATGTGTCTCACATGATGAATCAAATAAATTGAATTGAATTGAATTGAAAATGAGAAGTACACGTACGTGTATCTCTGCTTATAGGTTTCCATTTTCCAGAGAACTCACAACCAAAGGGTTGCGAGACTATTGTGGTTTCTTTTTGTCATGAACCGCCTGGCAGGTTCGGGAAATTGAGGTTAACAGTTACCGGTATTTACGTAATGCAGGAAGTGAACGTCTCCCATTGCAAAAACAGGGAAAGTTCAGGGAACCCCCGTTTTGCTTGAAAGGAAAGAATTTTGCATCCTGACGCCGCTTTTTTTTTGTCGTAAACTAATTATCTCAATGAAGGACGGTCTGAGTCGTTGCAAAAATGCTGAAAAGGACATGAATCTGGGACTGAAAAACATTTCCAATTCTGCTAGAAAATACTTTGAAAACTGCACCCGTCCCTCCATAGACTTTGTACACAACCAAAGAAGTGGCGTCTGGATAAACAACATTCTTTCCGCTTGAAATTTTTACATTTCATGCTTGAATTGAACAGCAACACTTTTTCGTTGCGAAATACCGGTAGACCCTTTTACGGATGGCCAGCAGACTGGAAATGTGCATGCAGTAAAGGTATGCTACCAGTACACTGCATGTTTGGACAGTTTGCGCTGCTAAAACCCCATTCGTCGCAAAAACTCTCCCAGAAGGCAACGTGCAACATAAATCCGATCGATGTAAAACAGCCCGTGTACATGTACTACCGGTGTACTGTGTATCATGTGTATTCTCTAAAGCGTGAAACCTGTTCCCTTTGTCATTAATTATTTGAAGATTTGTAATAAAAGCCATATCTTCTTTGAGTGATCCACGTTTGCTATTTCCTAGGTTTGCAGTAATGTCGCTAACATCGTGGCTTTGGGTGTGATCCCTGGCTACAGGTTTAGGGCTTCTGATTAGCTACCCTTGAACAAAGACATTGACAAATTGGGGAACCGCCAACTGCCAACATAGGGCTGGATAGCTCAGTTGGTAGAGCACCGGAACGGCAATCCGAAGGTCGCAGGTTCAAACCCAGCTCCAAGTCGATTTCTTTATTCCACTTTGAAAATTATAATAACGAGCATAGTCAGTTTCCATTTGTGATTTATTTGAAGAAGAAAAAAAAAGGAAAGATTTCCATATAAGAAGTTCACTAATTTTCCTCTGTATTGACTAACAAGCCCCCAGATAGCAATTTCATGTCATCAAAGTCAATTTCAGCAGTGAGAAAATACAAGCATTTTCTTAGAAAACTCTTAGAATTTGTCAGTCCAATCTCATAGGGTTTGTACACAGGGTGTTGAGTGAACTTCGTATATGGAAATCTTTCCAAAAATCCACCTCAAAATCTGCATAGTACCGGTACGGTATGTACTGTGTATTCAATGGAGCAAAAGGTCAAGGTGAAATATTGTGCGTGCTTGAATTGGTCGTGAACGCTTCGCTACCACTGAAGCAGAAAAATCCACCTGATGATTCATGGTGTGCAACTGCAAATAAAACAGACGATGAAAAAAAAGCTTTGTAAAATGCTTGGTTAAGGTGATCATAAAACAACCTTTGTTACTACCGTACATTTTTAGCATACATGTCCTGGTACATGTACTGTGTACATCAAATGCTGTAGGAAAAGAATTGTTTAAAAACTCACCAAAAAAATGTATGGAATTTATTTGCGGAGTTTGAATGAGAAATGCTGGTTCTGTGTTCAGCAAGGCGTTAGCCAGCATTTGAAAAAGTATACGGGAAGAATGTAGTATCCAGACTGCACTTCAGCGGTTGTGTACAAAGTCTATGGACTGTGGAGAGTCAAGAATATTTTTTTTAAGTATTTCCTAACAAAATTGGAAATGAGTCTCAGATTCATGTCTTTTCAACATTTTTGCAAGACTGACCTTTTTTGAGATGATGAAGAGAGTGCCATCAGACTGCAACAGTCTTTCCAGTTATACCATAGAGCAAGGACCCACAGGGTTAAATTCTGCCTCAAAATGAAAAAC